ATGAGTATTTAAATGACACTTCAAGCTTGCCGAAATAAAAAAAATTAATTCGGTGATACAGACTTGTAAAAAAACTGAAATAGTAAGTCAATGCAGACACCTTAGACAATGATTTAAGTGCTGCCCTGTTACTGAAAAGTCAAAATCTATTACGCTATCAGCCATCACAGGCCGTGTGATAGATTCTTAACATGCACTGTCAATTTATATCGTCTATTTGTGGTTGCTTAACTGGTTTTCAACTACAAGTATCTAGATAATGGACGAAAATGTGCTACTGAAGAATAACGCGACAAAATTGTATAACTATCTAAAATGTTCAATGTTGCAGTTGCATTCCCACAACAAATCCGACGCACAAATGCAAGACAAGCAAAATCTACTAAACAAAACATCTAATTACGAGATACCAACATTATCACAATCGGAATCAGACACTATTAACAGAAAGCAGCAGTAGCGACACCTGTATTTATTTATAGTAAGCTAGTTACCATACTAGTATTGAAACCACCTGTCGTATCATCTCCTAATTATTTTTTCTACACAGCGAAGTGAACACATTAAGTAAACAATCTAATATTAGTAGCCAACAAAAAGTTCTGGATTTGTGGGAGGTTTGGTGCTATTTGTACTTCGCGTGCTCCCCACCGCCACACTTCCACGAATGATGTGTCATGTCACAGTGCAGTATGTAATTACAGACATATAGTTTGCTCTCAGACATGATCGAGTAGTTTCTACTTCAACGTTATATAGCAGTTACATTTCGTCGACATGCTTATAGCATGCATGCTCTCGTAAAAATAGCATTCGCCACACCATATATTTTCAGTTTTTGAAAAACATTCAACTTTAGTTTAGTTATCTAAATGTCGCCATTAAGCAAAAAAACGCAAATGAATAATGCACAAAGATTAATTGATGTGGGCGACCTTTCAATGTTTTAAATTTAACATAATTTAAGCAGTGTCTATAAATGATTGTCAATTAATACTGTCACATCGTATTACCATCAGAAATGTAAGCTTGCTCCTTTGGGCACTATATATACAAACAGGCGTCATGTGTATGTTTATTAATGTTTACTTTTCCCCACCTGACTGAAGACCTGTGTTGTATTTAACACAATAGAAACCACTATACAGTAGCGCAAATGTGTCGACGGTTTTATTTAAATGTGTAAATTTTATTACATTTTTTTCGTTTCATTTTTTTCCTCGCTTTATCGCGTCGTCAGATTTTATCAAACTGTTATCTTGTGGCAACTGATTTAAACTTTTCTTTCAAACAGGTAAAAAAGACTACGTTCCTTACTAGTCGCAGCAGTGTTGTCAAATGACTTTTATTTCGTTGCTTTGAACGATAATAATTAGTGCTTTGATGATAACACTAGTAACTTTCGTTGGAATTACCGGACAGAAGTTGATAATTGCTCCACTCAAACAAATACATACGTGAAATTAAAGTTTAATGAAGAAATTAAACGCTTTATAAAACATGATTTAACGTTAGAAACATTGTTATTCAATCGGAGGAAATAATACCATGATATTGATTAAAAACTGTAAAGACTGGCCGACATTTGTGAAACTGTAGTTGGCAATACTGCTCGGGCAATGTCATGTGAGGTTTCGAGTTAAATTTAGCAAAGTTGAGGCACTAAATTGTATTGAAATTTTTATTAAATCGAATTTAAGTCTGAAATAAGTACCTAGTCCCCGCCCACTTCAATTTCTTGTTAAGTAATAACCATCAATCTATTTAATTTATTCGCACTCTATCTCAATAACTTCAGACTTGTTTTCATGCGTTTACTTTGACTCGCAATTTTTCCCGCTTGGTAACAACATGTAAACTGTAATTGTAAAATGAAATCTGTTCGAACTGTTGTATTATAAATCACAGATATCAAATGTTAAATGTTCCTAAAAAGTGTTAATTTATTAGGTGACGTATTGTGTAATTGCAAAATGAAATAAAATGTTTTCTCAGCGCAGAGAAACAAAAATAAACAGGCTCCTATGGCAGAAGTCAACATTTTTTCTCATTTACAGCTTGCATAAATTCCTCAATGGTCTAAAAACTTTGGGTTTCCCAGAGAATTATCCAAGTCTAGATTTCCGTATTTTATGAATCACCTGACTGTAATATGTAATAATTTACAACTGAAACATGAATATTGCTTTAATTTTGTGAGGGGTGTGTGTTAATGCGCATGCATTGATGCAATTATCTTAAAAGTGACAAATTCCACATCAAAACAAGACAAGAAACTCTAGGAACTGACATTTGTGCAAACAACCTGTTGAAAGAGAAACGAAATGTGTTGCAAATTTTGAAATTAAAAAGCGAGAATTATAATAGCTCGTAAAAATTTACTTGGGCCCTAAAATGTTTCAAGAAACGGGACTGAATTTAGTAGCACCGCCGCTCGTAAAATTCTTATCGAATAGCATTTACTTTTAATTGTTCAATTTGCTGCAATGTTTCAATTCCTTTGGAGGGTGCGTACACTCTCACCAAAACTTAGTGACAAAGAAATGTCATATGTGTGTCACTTAGATGTCAACCCTTGACGACAATAAGTCTGAATTTTCTCCACTTCTGGGGAGTTAAAAAGTGTTATTATCATTACATTGTGAAATAAACAACAACATATTGGCCAATGTATTCATAAGAAACAATTGTTATTAATTTATACATATCTACAACCGATGTCCACGTATAATAACGACCTATTAATGAATAACATATAATAACTATGAAAGATTTCTTTTAGAATCTCAAGTAGAGGAAACAAAGTTGTTATGATGACAGATGCTTGGAGAAATTTGTTCTCATTTCTGTCATCTCAAAAATGTTTGCCAAAGGACTGTTGATCACTGAAAGGATATGTAATGTCACATGAATGTCTGGAAGTCCAAAACAGATAAGATTTCTAAAAATGTCTTTTAGATGAGCTTCAGAATGTGGTTTTAGAGAAATGGTACAATATCCAACAATAGACAATTTAATTCGTGGGATGCTCGGAGGGAAAATATCCGTTATTGACGTCCTTAAACAGCGCGTCAATGATCATTGTTTACGTTTTTTTTTTGGAAACTTTTTTTGAGTTTTGATTCTTGAATTTTTATAATTTTTTCTTGAAATATATTTTTTTCGATAAAAATATTGCAATAGACCTTCAAAGTATTGCAGCCGAAATTACTTTCTTTTGCACATTTTCAGACTTTTTTTCTAAAAAAAAAAAAGTGGTCCATTTTACGTGCCGATAAGTGTATAAACCGTTCAGGATGTTTTTAGACAAAAGTGAGCCATGAAATGTTTTCTTCATGTTGGATAAACTGATTCACTGACAAAGCGGTTTGAACTTAACTGTTACTTATTCAAATGTGAATTTTAAATTTGATTATATTGACTGCGCTTATTAAATACTGAAATAATAATTGTTTGCTTCAGTGCTTTGAATCGTACTTATTGGAATAGAAAACACAAAGTGTGAAATTACTTAACTAATCCGATAAATTTAATTTTTCATTAGGGATCTTTGCAAATACGAAATTCATTGCCAACCAAATTACTAGATTTACATGGCCTACCGTTGTTTAAAAACATCCTGAACGGTATATGTAATATTCTACCTTAAAAATTATATTTAAATGCACTCTTGCCTGCAAGAGATCACATTTACTTGGATTAAAACTGATTGTCGGGAAATACAACGTCGTACCGAAATTTGTTTACTATTTTTAAATTTTAGGTTATATTTTCCATTTGTCACTTCTGTCATTCTAATTTGACACTTGAGTTAAAACTTAAAAATTTTGACAAATTGTAAGTGTAGGCTATTGTTGCGAATCCTCTTTGTCACTAAGTTTTGTCTGCGGCTTTACGAAGAATCCACGCTCACAATATCGTCAATCAAGAATTTGTAACCTTCTCGGGATTGGTGGACATTTCAGTGGTGAAATTTATTAACGTCTTTTAACATTTTCTTCCTGAATATTGAATGTTAGTTACCACTTTATCGCCATGAAACGTTTAATTAGACGACGGAAAAGTAGAAAACTGCATTAAAACATTTGACGGAATTCAAGTTTGATTTATTCATGAAACAAATATACAACTGTCATAAATGGAAGCAGCATTTTTACGGCCGGCAAATAACCAGTTCTTGTTTAGTTCCCATAAATAAATGTAACGAATCGAAATTATGCAAAATGTTTTCACGTAGTTTTTAATTAACCGTAACGGTAAACATGTTCGCACTTGCAACTGCACCACCACCTCTTGTTTACGTCAAGTTCCGACAAGCCCACTCCTTCGCACCAAATCGGCGCGAACGAACGTACGAACGAACAAACGAGCCCGACTCATCTGCCGATGATAAATAAATACGACGGAAAAAACGGAAACGGAAACACGGCCATCATCGATCCCATAATCCCGATCGTGTGTAATCTCGAAAATTACCTAACAGTTAATCAAGCAGAGGCCGATATCTCGAACGGTTCTCCGAACGCCACAGACACGCTCCGAGTAGCGCCGGCCGCTTAAAGGGGAACTACCACTACCACGGACCACGACTGCATCGCTTCAAGCGGATGTACCGAGATCTCGCAGCCGACTCGCTCCGTTAAGACCCCCCTCCCCGTTAATAGCATGCAAGGCCTACTAGACGCCGCGAGCTTTTTGCTACCTCGGCGTCGGACTAGGTCAAGTTTTTACATCAGATTCCTTTTAATTTAAACGAAAACAAAAAACGGACAGACGCAGACAGCGCTAACGGTGCATGCATGCGTTAGACAGAGACGGGCGAAAGCGAACGGCGCCATTTTGAATGCAAAAACCAACATGAAGGATAATGAACGTACCGTGTCTAATTTCGAGGCATGGGAGGCATCCTCTTGCGGAGCACGTGATCGTCGCGCAGCGAAGATAAGGAGGGACACGGGGTTCGGGGCAAAGTAAAAGAAAATAAAAAAACTGAAACTGACCTTTTCGTATAAAAACCAAAACCTCGCCGTTCCATATCACGCAAAATTGGGAAACTAAAGAAAAGCACAAACACGTTACATGTAGGGGTTTGGGGCGAAACGTGCGAATTGGGGTAAAAGCGGTTAGCACTGAGAACAACACCAACAGTTCTTTCTGTTCCACACTTGGCCACTCCGAACACGCGACTGCGCCGCTGTGTAAGGATAGGAACTGGTTGTCCTTCACTCCTCCAATGAGGGTAAACATATCCCTACCTGTAACCGGATTGGTCGACATTTGAAAATGACGCGGAGAATGGAAGAGGGAAGAGGGAGCGCAGTCCTTCTCTCTTGTTATGTTACAGAAATGGAAAAAGACGGCGAGCTGGTGGAGAGATTGACGGGCGACCATGCTATTTCAAGGATCAACTTCTGTCATGGCGCAACTGGCGTTCGTATCTCTGATGTAATTCGAAGGATCCCTTCCGACATTATTAACATGGTGGACCACGAAAGCGCTACGAATTACGTAATTGCCGAAACGCTCTCGGGACCGACTACCACTTCTGATGCACGTGTTTTCCGTTTTATGATTATGCAGATTACTGATTAACCTTCGATGGTTTTACTTATCATGTTTATGCAGCAGCAATTATGACTCATTATGCGATTTCGCGTATTAAAGCCTTAAGAAAGGAAATATTAAGCAACTTGGAAATGAGCTGTAATTATCGTTAGAGCACAAAAGCCGATTATCCTGCCGATTTTTTATGCATTCAATTAACTGCACCGAAGACTTCGTACTCGAATTCTGAAATCCTGATGCGACAATTCTTGGTAGTTCGACAAGAGCGCGATGGGTGTGGATGTTTTGCACTTTTTGTTGTTTCGTAATGTTATTTATTGGTCTAGATTAAAACGTTACGTGGATATGAATGCGTATCGTTACCACCAGTTTTTAAACAAAATGGTTCACGAAACGTCTACATTTTAAATAAAATCATTGGCAGTAGTCTCAAATTCAATGACATAACTATTTCAAATGTCATGCATAAGTGACACTACACAACCCACTCATATCGGTAAACAAACTGTCAAAACTTTAAAAAATGAACTAGGTCACCAAAGCCAACCACCTCTCGAAGACGAACTCACTTTATCTGCACACAACACTCATGGTGATTAAAATGTAGTTATTTTCAACATAACGTCATCTCAAAGAAATTTTGTGTTTATGAAATTGATTGTCTAATGCCAGCTTAATGCAACCAATACAACAATTAAACGACGTTGGTAATTTCTGCTAATGACACCTGAAGGTGTCACTTTATTCGCTATGGAACAATTTAATCTCAGCGATATATAAACGAAATTAAAATGATGAGAAGCTTCACACTTCCTTGCCACTTGTGACCCTAATACAGGTGTGCATTGAGAAAACGAAAATACGATTTTTTATATGATAATATGAATATATGATTGATAAACTGAATTTCTTATGATGGCTAACGATCTTTTCGTAGACACTTAAAGACATAGAGACACTTGTAGGACTTTTGTGTGATTAAGTATAATTACAAAAACTAAAAATAGCATCTGTAAGAGACAAGAAGGAATCAGTGGAAGCATTTATTTACTCAATTCTTTATGAAATTGTGCCTTTGACCTTACTTTGCGAACTTATACAGTTCAGTCGCGTAATAATAAAGCTTACGTCTTTACTCCTTAGGTACGTATTTAAGAAATTTTAAGCTAATAAAATGTTATAAAACGCTCAATAGTGAACCGGTTCCTAGGGTTGCATTCAGTTTCCTTATCTTCAGTTATTAGCTGTTATTGGTTAAATTTCGAGCGATCTTCGATTGGTTTCTTATGTTTCGACATCGATAAGTTTTGTTATAAAATTTCAAGTTTTCATAACGATAAGTTACTTTTATCGATAAATTTCATCCGAACAGAATAACATCTAATTGTCTGTGTAATTTTTTGTAAAAATTACGGAAATTTGACAAAGAAACACACTCGTAAAAAACTATTTCAAAAATAAAGGTATTAATGTAGCGTTCAAAAATATACATATTTAAAAAATACATTTGGCGTCACAGTTCGACAGTCAATCACGTCACAATGAGCTATCGATCTCAAGGAACCATATAATCTGCATAATGTTTCTCATAACAAAAGCTTCGCTCTATATCTGTTGCTCTCTCTTTCTCTTGTGGTAGTGTCTACGTTCTGTCTCACTTTCACATCAACTTGTAAAAAAACGTACGTACGTTCAGCATTTTCAGTTTTTGTCGTCTTTAAAAATAATAATTCAAAATATGTGTCAATGACATCATAACACCATTTAGCACAAAATTTCAACCCACTTTTTAAAATGTAAACTGCGTTAAACAATAAGTTGACATGTGAGAGCATTTTTGTCCAACTGCGTCCCAACATTTTTACTATTATTTTTTTTTAAATATGTATAAGTAAACAAAAAAAAATAATATTAAGATAATTGCCTAGTTTTTAACTTGACCTTGAAGTGACCAATCAAAACCGAGTCTTCTGTAAATGTTAGACTTCGATTGTCGAGCTGAAATGAGTTCACCAAAAGTTTTTATGTATTTTTGGAATACTCTTGGATATTGTATTTTAGTATGCTGTTACAGAAAGTTGCTTGTAAAGTCTTTTTTTTTAAGAACTTTAGCATTTCAGTAATTGCAGTCTATAACACTGTAAAATCCTAAGATGTGCGTGCTTACAATGGGTATGAGAACGGCGCACAGAAAGAGAAGACGGCCAACTAAGAAGATAAAGTGCCGAAGTGGAAGAACCATAAAACAGGAGAGGTCGTTAATTCTCGCAAGATTAATTAAAGTGGCAACAAATATGTACTGAAAAACGTACAAACCATTTGCCACCTGAGTGAAACATTTACGACAAGTTAAAATTTCTTTTTTTATAGGAAAGTTTCTCAAAATGCTGCTGTCTAATCAGTACATACCTATTCTATTTTTTTACACAATCCCTTTCAGCCTTTAAGAAGTTAAAAATATTACTGAAACATACAAAATACCAGGTGTTTTCTATAAAAAAATATTTCTAATAATTCTGGAGTGACGTCATCATTTCATCAAGGGTAGGAATTGGTAAATTTTGACGTTCTCGACTTCATGCAAAAATTGTAGTTTCTTCCAGTCAGTACAATCGATCAATTGGTTAGCCGGCTATATTGCATTGGGGCGACTTGTTATTGCTTGTTGTTCGGTTACAATAAACACATACGTAGACGTCGAGTACCCCTTGCATGTCTCGAACCCTTTAAATGTATGAAAATGCTCGACCTTGATTAGCGTTTGAACAAATTTGTGCACGCCTATGAAACTAGCTTGTCGCTTTCTGTATATTAAAGTATAGATAGAATTGCAGTAATGTTGATAATCTGTTCTTCTCCTTTATGCATGCGTATAGTGGACTAAAATAGCAGTCAACTCATATTTTGCTGGTAAAATGTGTTTATGAAACTGTACCCAACAACCTGTCGTCAAAATGTAACTATATCTTTCTAACCCTTTCCACACAGCAAACAAAGAGGATGGGAGAGCAACCAAGGACAGTCTTTCACGATTCTGAAAGGGATGCTGGATGAGGTCAGGTGACTGCCTTGACGGCGACAGGTGCAGGCGCGGTGGAAATGCAGATGTGACTCGTGGTGTTGAGAAACGATTTGATTCATACAAGGTGATAAAAATTTACGTAGGTATTAAAATACGTGAATTAATCTTTATATTAGGTATTTAATATACTTAAATGGAGACCTTATAACCAAAAAATATGTATTATATTTGACGCGCATTTTAAAATCTAAAAAAATGCATTGGAGTGATACTCGCAGGCTAATAACTTAAGACAAGGTTGGGTAGCCTGAATATTTTATGTTTCAAACATACCTATTAATATGGTGTAATACCTATAACATATATTCAGGTGCACATATATTCTAATTAACCAAAGTAGAGTAGACGCTTAGGTTTATGGTAATCATGATAATTTGCTCAGACTGCTTATCCGAATGGCACAAAGGTTCTATGAATCAGATGTGCATATGAACACAGTTTAGGTCAACGACTCTAAAAACCTTTGATCCTTATGGACAAGCACTTTTGGAAACAGAAAATCAATATTCATTATTTGGGGAACTCCACTGTAATCATTGTTATTTTGCTGCACATGCAGAAATTTACGTCAGAAAAAATGTTTTGCGTATATGTCAGCAACTCGTAGCGCATGTGTCTTCCTACACTTTATTCGTTATTTAAGTATTTGGAAGGAGATAAATGATTACATCCAATAAGAAAGAACTGTGTTTGTGCTATGTATACATGTTAAATACGTTAAAGTTCATCAGGCAACCCACTATGGTTGTCATAAAGTATTCTTCTATGAATGACATCAATGTCATGGCTAACGTAGCTGTGCTAGACAAAAAAAGAGAACACAAACTAGGCTACCTAAAATTATTGTCTAACTTGTTGCAACACAGGTCTCAAAGAAGAAAGAAAGAAAAGAGAAGGGAGAATCTCATAAACAGGCAAATTTTGGACACTGCAATATAGGATGGATAAACCCTCTTTTTTTTTCTCCAAAAGCTGCCACATCGATTGATGCGAGAAGTAACCAACATTGTTCGATTCATGACATCCAAGTGCTGAAAAGTACTACTTGAAAACGTCTATAACTAAAGAAAGTGCTGCAGCAACACGATCACTTTGACCAACGGTAAAGTTTCTATTAGTTTAGTTTTGCACTGTTTTTAAAGTACAAAAAAGCACATTTTCCTCTGTATGCCATTCAACCGTTGGAAATATATTAAATTTTGAGAAAATTTCCCAAATTACTAAATTGAATACTTTGAAAAAATTTATGACGTCATCTTTAAACGGTCAACTTAACCTCACCCAAATTGTGTGTAGCGCAACATTCACTCATATATTTATTTAACTTTACGTATCATTAACGGGTTGCCCTCAAAAAATAAAAGTTATACATATAAGTTTCAGAATTTTTCAAAAACTACATTTATTATTTCTTCGAAACTTTGATAACAGACTAACGCTAATTTAAAGGTAGCTAAATGTTACTAATTTGTCCAGTTTAAAAAATAATAATAATAATAAATAAATAAACAATCAACAAATAATATGTTT